GCCCTGGTCTAAGGTCTTCCAGGGAAGCGATGTTTCCCCCCTTCATGTCCATAACGCATGTCTTTTCTTGCACCTTCAGCACTGAATGGCAGACCTGTAAAAATCTAGCCAGCCTTTTCTTCCACGATTACTTCGAGTGTACGCACGGCGTGCCAAAAGTAGGACTGGTAAACCTCTCCTGGTCTCTAGCACCAGTTGCTTTAAATATCATAATCATAATTAAAAGAAGACTTGTTGGAGAGGGAAAACAGGCTAATGCTTCTTCCCTTGGGCACCACTGAGTGCCAGGGGAGAATGTGGGCAAGGGAAATCATTTTTCCTAGCCTCTGGAAAAACTCCTAGGTTACTCAGACTTCTTAGGCAAGATGGCACCAAAGAATTCAGCCTTGCCCATTCCTCCTGCTCCTGCTCCCCCCACCCGGCCCCCAAAGACCAAATCAACAGCTGGTGTCCCGCTGCACTGGCCCACAATGGGTCCTCTTCGGGCAGACAATATACTTGTCATGGGAAAACATAAAACCTGCAATTAATGGCGTGGTCTCAGCGCTGCTCTTTTCAGGCTGGACAATGGGAGGCATCTGGAAGAGAAAGATTAAACCCAGCGCTTCCCTGGAAGCTAGTTAAATGGCCCCTGGCGAGGTTTGTTTTTGCAAAAATAAAACTCCCCAACCGAACCTCATCATTCAGAGGGAGAGCGAAGGAGCTGGGTCTTTAGAGGAAGCTGGGCCTTTGGAAGGAGGCACAGATCTGTCCCCAAACCCCCAGGGCTCCCTGCCTCAGCATCGCTGTGTAATAGATCTAAATGGGCCGGATGTGGGGCTTCTTCTCGGCAGTACAATTAAGTCATTTTAGACTTAATTAGGCCAGCCAGGGCTGGCCTTCTCATTCTGCAAAGAGTGACCCTCTTCCCTTTGGGGATCCAAGTTCTGCTTCAGCCCCTTCTCCTGCCAAAGTCCCGGATTGCTTTGTGTGCCCAGGTATATATTTAGCGGCGCTCAGCCATGCTTCTACCCGTTATGGTCAGTGCTGCTTTGCAAAGACAGCCATGCGTCTCCCAGTGCAGCCAAGGGGTCCATGTTCCTGAAGGATGTCAGAACTGGCTACAGCCCTCCTAGCTTGCAAACCAGCTTTGCCCGACGGGGAGCCTGCTTTGCCCAAGTTGGAAATCCTTGGACGTTGGCTGCTGCGATTCCCAGCCCACCAGGGCTTCTGGGGGAGCGAAGAAGGCTTTCTCGGACAGGCTGCCCCACTTAGTCTGTGTCCTTTGGAGGGGCTGTTGCATCACAAACCAGCTCTGATGATTAAGGAGGCACCGCTGCCGGAAAAGCATCGGTTTAGTCTCTCCCTTTGGGGACATTGATGGCAACCGATGGAGATGCTAGATCCCAGTCACCGCCTCCGCCCTGGGACTGGGGTACCGCAGGACACAGCACGAGAATGTTTCCCACGTCAAGGGATCGGCTGTCACAGGGGCTGAGTTAGGCGTCTCTGGAGCCCTTGTCTCCTCAGAGAGCAGGACAACGGGATGTGGCTGGGGGAGGCAACAGGAGTTTAGCACATCCATTCATCTTTATTAGCTGCCTTTGAAATGGCTACTTGCAGGGAGCACCCAACTGAAAGGAAAAGAGGACTGCGACGTGTCGCCTTTCCTGAAAATCAAATTCCCCACTCAGCTCCAAAGCTCTTGAGGGCATCCAGTTTCGCATTATTTTAAATGGAAGAATTTTTCTTTCTTTTAAAGCCTGGCAGTGATTTTTTTTTCTTTTTAACCAAAGGAGCACAAGAAAGCTTGCTGGCCAGTCCAACTTTTTCAGACGTTTCTGCTTCAGTGTATGCGTGTATGTCCATGTGCAGGGGGGGGGGGTATTCCCGCAAAGCCCTCTGTGTATTTGTCATGGGGTGGCTTTATATGGGTACAAAGGGAAGGCTTTGAACTAGAAGGGGATTCCCTCCCCAACTCCACTTCCTGCCTCCTGCAAGTCTTTTGGGAAAGCAAGGGTGCAGCAGAGGTGGGCTGATCGTACAATGGCTTGGTTTCTAGACCACTGTCCTGTTCTGGGTGGGGTTCCTGTGGGAAAGGAAGGGAGGGTCCACTCCCTCTCCCGCCCCCCCCCCCCCCCCCCCCCCCCCCC